TACATACATACATACAGTTATTTATACATGATTACTATTAATATCATTAATGATCCATTATAATATATTTGTATATGTTTATAGATTTTATCCAGACCTCATTTATAAACTAAACCCTGAAATATAATTTGGCTTATATTGAACTTACCTATATAATCATTCTAAAACTCTAGATTGATTCAGCATCGGTCGCTCTGATGGATCAGAACTTGGTTGAAGAAAATATGGCAATAAGCAAAGTCTTTGAAGAATTATCCAAAAGTATTTCAACAAAGTATTTCAACTTTGATGAGGTAAGTTGATTAAGAGCTTGAGGATTAGCTGTAGTATTTTCAAATGTAGATGTTTTATGGGTGAAGTTTCACAGCATCCTCATATTATGAAGTTAATAAGAATATTAAAAGCCGCTTTCGATCTTTTGAAGGACCCCAGGATTGAGCCTGCCCTGACAAATGCCACATGCTGCCCAAAAAGAGTAATTAACAACAAACTAATCAACCCATCACTCAGGAGGCCAAACCCATACGGCATATCCCACAGGTGCTCTCTTCTTTCTTATTATTTACTTTTACTTTTACTTTTTACTTTTAGTCATTTTGCAGACGCTTTTATCCAAAGTGACTTACAAATAAGAAAAAGTCATTAAAACTAAAAGTGAAAAGTGAAAGTGACATGACATGTGGCCAAGTATGGTGACCCATACTTGGAATTAGTGCTCTGCATTTAACCCATCCAAAGTGCACACACACAGCAGTGAACACACACACACCGTGAACACACACCCGGAGCAGTGGGCCATTTTTGCTGCAGCGCCCGGGGAGCAGTTGAGGGTTCGGTGCCTTGCTCAAGGGCACCTCAGTCGTGGTATTGAAGGTGGGAGAGGGCGCTGTACATTCACTCCCCCCACCTACAATCCCTGCCGGTACGAGACTCGAACCCGCAACCTTTGGGTTACGAGTCCGACTCTCTAACCATTAGGCCACGACTTCCCCTAAAAGTTAAAACTCCCCTAAAAGCTAAAACTCTAAAAACACTATATATATATACACATTTAAGAAAATAAAATAAATTAAATTATTATTATATGTGTATTTGTGGTTCTTTCACACCACAAAATTATATAAAATCTGTAATTGATTTGCATAAATGCAGAGAGAGAACAGAGAGGGCTGTCAACAGGAAGAGGCCTGCGAATGCAACTGCTCGAGCATACAGAGCCTGGTTTCAGTGGTGGAGGTGTCAACTATCAATGGATGATTATCTTGACTACATTTCCAGTCAGGCAAGTTTATAATAGGAGTGTGTGTTTATGGGTAATAAATGCTAGATATATTCAGGATTTGTGGACTTTAACAGTTGTGCTTGTGTTATATGTGCCCTGGTTTTGAAGGACTCCGATTATCTGTCAGTGCTGTTTCACTTGTATGACAGTGATGATGATGAAGAGGCAGAGAGACACAAGCTGGCTCAGCTGCAGCGAGACGAGAGGAGAAGGTCTGGAATTTTTTTTTTTTTTAGCTTATCCTCCCACATTTACTCTGAGAATGATGCATGATGACTTGCACTTGGTTAGTCTCTATAACTGATGTCAAATGTTGAACATCCATGAAACATCCCTTCGACTTCTTACACTGTGACCGTCAACAAATGGCTAAACACCAACATTTTAATTATTGTATATTATTATATTTTTATTTTATTGATATAAAGTTAACCTAATTTTTATCTGATCATCACCTCTTTCAAAAGGCAACAGGAAAGGATCAGTTCACTTAGGAGACAGAAACAAGAATTTGTTCCTGGATTCTGGAACATCAACACCATAGAGATGGGAGGATTGGGAAGGGAACCAGAACTGGATGGCATGTTGTAGTTTTCTTAAAAAAAAAAAATACTGGTACACTTATGAAAATGCATTATTTAGTGTCAAAAACTACATGAATGAATGTAGAAATATCTGTGTTTCAGAGAAAAATCCAGAAGAGGAAATACAAGATGCAGTGAGTTCATGTTCCTTTCCTCATAATATAACACAGCACTTCTGTTTTCCACTGATTACTCCTTCATCTATCATGTCATGTCGCTGTTATTTTTAGTACAGGCTTCTGTTTAGCAAGAAAGAAGTACAGTCACTTTTTTTGTATAATAGATAGGCAAATAGATAGGTAGGTAGACAGAAAGAGAGATAGACAGACTAGCAGGTAGATGATAGCTAGGTAGACAGACTGGCTGATTGATTGATGTTCTTCAGTCTGAGGGAGAAGAAGGTGAAGGTGCTGGACTGCTGGATGGAGAACAGATGCAGGTCAGGCTGGAGAGGGTCTGGAACGCCCTGCTTCTGCCAGAAGGACAGCGACTAGACATGGCCATCAAATACAGCTCTCATGAGTACAGGAACCATCTGCAGGAGGTACAGATAATGATAATGAACTCTCCTGGCTTTCCATCATGATCATCTAGGATTTATGTTGTCATGTGGATGTATTTGTGCCTTCAGGCAATTGCTGCATGGGAGCAGGCTGCTCGGTTGATCCAGAAGAGAGAGCTCTTGCTCTCCAAGTTGGAGGACTTTGAGAGGGAGGCATCTGACCCCAACAGATTTTTCCAGCGAGGTACATCAGAGGCACAGAATAATGAATTCTGACCCTTGAAGTCTGCATTTACAGATTTAGAGAGATTCTTTTGACTCAAAAAAAATCGTTACTCTAATACAGATTCATTGCAAATACACAAGTTATCATGGTTCATCCATCGCTAGAATGGAAGAGGCAAGTCAAAGAGAGAAGCTCAACTCTCAGATTTCAGTTGTAGACCAAGAACTGTCCAAGACTATGGGCTACATCACCACCCGTTTCAATGACAACATCAGCTATAAGGTGAGTGCATCAAAGCTTGGTTGCACGCCATTGGTTATCTGCACCAGAAGCTCAGCTGTCTATCATTTTCACTGCTGTTTTGGTTGTCACAGGGTCGGCCATACAGAGAGAAGATGCGCTGGGACCTTACTGAGATGCTGTACTGGCTGCAGCAGGAGAGGCGGGTCCAGTCGCTGGAGATGTTTGTAGATGGACGGATGGCTCTGCCTGTAAGGCTTCCTCCTCTGAGCCAAAGCCAGGAGCTTCACTCAGACAACCATCAAACCCTCCAGGAACAACCTCTGTCACACTGTGAGAGAAATGGCCAATTACTGCAACACTGCCAACTCTAAAAGATATACCAATGTAGTCCAAATACTAGCAAATAAAGCAAGACCTGTCAGTTTTTATAGATCTGTTTCACTTTGATTATTGGTTTAGTATATTCTTACTAGTTGCTGAAGAACTTTCTGACTCTGAAAAGGAATGCTTTTTTTGGCAGCTTAGAAATAAAATCAGAAATGATACCGTTCTGAAATGTGTGGTGGTGGGGGCGGGGGAATTAAATTGTTTTTTGTTTTTTTTTGGTGAAAATTAGCATTTTGTTTTAGTGTGTATATTACACACACTGCAGTGCATTCTAAAATAATTAAAATAGAACTAACAATAACAATGTGAAGTAATCATTTCCAAAAATAATTTAATATTAAATACATATTGTATTACACACCAGATATATTATTAGTTTTTATTAATATTTTGAATGTTTTTATTTTTATATTTTCATTTTACATTTTAATTTGACTTAGTTTTAGTCATTTCGTTGTGTTTTGTCATTTTTTATTCTTTTAAACTTAAATCAAATGGGGTTTTTTTACATTTTATTTTAGTTAATGTCTATTTTATTATTATTTTAAATAACAAAAATGTTTTTGAATGGTTTTAGTTTTAGTTAAATATAACCCTGCTACACTCTACATACAGTAGGCAAATGTAATTATATGTAGTGTAGAAATGACAAATGAAGAATGATAGTATTACACTAATTATGTAATATTTAAACTAATAAACTTGGACAGAGGAAATATGTTGTCTTTTCATCTTGCAACACATATATCAGAAAATTAACAGATTATGTGCTTACATCAAAATCGAGTGCATTTGTACGTAGTTACCCTTCACAACAGAATTACTGTACTGTGCTATTTAATATGCAACAATCACCTTTTTAACGTAACTAACTAATCATTCTTTGTTTATAAGGTTTCTATAATATATAAGACGTTTCTAAATATGGTATTTTATTTATCTATACCTTTATTTGCGTTTCGTGAGGTGTTGTTTCACTTACTCCCAGTAGTTGGCAGTGCGCTCTTTCCCGTTTGTTTGTCTCCAGTCAGCTGAGGAGAAGAGGAGATTCGCGGCGCTCTGATTGGCTGTGTTCACATCACGTCATCTTCCGTCTCTCTACGTTTCCTGTCAAATTGTCAATTTGGGATTCATACGTCTCTCTGTTTTCAAAATATCTCTAAACGAGATGACAGCGAATAATAAGGAATCGGCGGGTATGTCATTTCATTTGTATGCTTAACATGTCAAACTCCGGCTTAAAAGAGCAGAATTAGCCTATTATTTTATGCAGTCTCAGCTGAACAAAACGACACCAATGGTCCAATGAGCTGCCTCTTAAAAATAATAAACATATGAATATAAATCGTTATCTCTATAAATATATGCAATTTATTTATAGATAACCTATTTAGGTAAGAGCCATTAGCGTTTAGATAATTCGGTCTGCAGTGGCAAAACAGCATATTATATGGTAAATATGAGACATTTATACTACAGTGTTTCCGTATGAAGCGTCAGTTAAATCATTTTACTTTATTTCCATTGAAAGAGATCGTTTGTAGACAGCTCTACAGAGTTAAACTGACATATTTTGAAGTATTAAAAGTAAACAGTGTCCATAAGCAAAGTCTTGCTCTCAATGATATCCATCAGCCACTTTTCACTGAACCTCGTCTGTCCTGGAATATGTTTGGATCTGTTTGTTTCGACGAGGAAGTGAACGTCCATAGGCAGTGTGTTTGGTCGGATTTTGGAGATTTCTATGATGAAATACACGCTGGCTGTGGCACTGGGGATCGGGGCGGTTCGGGTCGGGATGCTACATTTGGTTTCGTACTGGTACTGCGTTTTAAACTCCAACTCGGTCTCCTGGAGAAACCTCAGACTATAGAGCCAGCCGGGCTGCTGTATCTCCCATGTGTCCATGTATCGTCTGATCTGTTGCTCTCCGATCTCGATTGTGAAGTCTTTGCACGAGATCCAGTCGATGTTTTTGATTTTATGCTCACATTGTGCGATATGTGTGCTGTCCGTCTCCATAGCTGTCAGCGTTTGTGAAATGTTGACGTCGGTTTCCATGGTGATTTCCACAGGTTGCATTGGCTCTTGCACTAAAACGCGATGCTTTACAAATGATTGTAAAAGTACTTTTATATTCCACTCTGTATTTTTTTTATTTTCTCTCCGCGTTTAAAATTTGTATGACATTCTTTCTTCTGTGGAACACAAAAGAAGACATTTCGAAGAAGTCAATTTTTCATGTTTAGTTGAATGAATGGAGACTTCAAACTTAAATATGACTCGTGCACTATATTTCAAGTTTTCTAGTCATATGTATCAGCAACAAACCGAAAGTTGAAGTTGTTATTCATAGAAAATTTCAGCCTTCGGTGAGCTGTTAACTACTGGGAGTTGGTGAGTTTAACTGATTCATGAATGAATCATTCAGACCGGTTTTGTGAACTGAATCAAATGATTCATTTAAAAGATCTGACTCAAAAGAACAATCCGTTCACTAACTTGACATCTTACTTCTCTCATTTGTTCTGACGACTTTGAATATAACGCATAAGAAATAAAATATATTTTGCATACAAAAAAATTAAGCCTATTTTCAGAACCATTAATATTTTTGCCTTTTTTTGTCCCAATTGCATAGCCTACTGTTGGAGCCATTTTGTTTTTAATTGCATAGTGGTTATATTTCTTTTCGTTTCTTTACGGTAATTTAGAATTTAGGTAAATTTAGCATATTTTGTTTGTTAAACACAAGTTTTTGTTTTTTAAAATGACGACCAAGCGGCCTACAGTGAGTTTGCCACATTTGATCAATTTAGCCTTCTCAAATCAACACTTGACCTGTCTACAATAAAATCCCTATATATAAAACACTAAGCATATCACAATGTTAGCCTAGTTTAACCTAGATAAATGTGTGCAGTTAGGCGCGTATCCAAGTGTTTGCGCGGAAATCGCACTTTTAATGGAGGCGCCGGCACGATTACTTACATTTTTCAACTTAAAATACGATGTCATTTTTGTTCATAAAGATAAGAATAGTACATCATTTGAAACTGTAAAGTCTACTTTTATTTGTGTACACTCACAATAACAACAAAACGCTGTAATTTAGTAAAATAAAGAAAACAAACAGGACGCTCTTTCTGCCCCCTGGAACGCGTCACTAAAATGAACCCAAACTCAGCGTATATAAGCTAAATGCCTCACACAGATATGAAAAATATATCTATAGAAAACTCGAAATGGCTATTCTAAAATGAAACAATTAAAATCGAAAAATGTGCATTTCTCTCTGAAGGCGTGTCACTGTACTGCGGAGATGGCGAGTCAGAATTGTAATAATAATAATAATAATTTATTTTTATTATTAATAATATTAATAATAATAATACAATATTATTAAATAAAAATGTAAAATATTATATTTTCGTTTTATGTAACTAAAAACAGGACAATTTTTTATACTTTATTATAGTAATGAGAATTAGTTTGAAATAATGTTGGAAAAGTATCATGAAAATTAAGCACTCATTGCGCTCATGCTTCATTAATGAGGCCCATTGTCTTTATGCAGAAAATACCTTCCTTTTATGACATCTTATTCACTTTGAATATTAAATATTGTGATTCCATGGTGTTCCTATGCAGTTGCTCAAGGGTCCTGACTGTTTTTAGCACAATGATATGCAGTTGCTAGGATTTTATGGAGGGTTTCTTACTGATGATTTCTTAATATTAAACATTATTAATTTAATAAAAACAATCTTTGTCATTACAGGTTGCCTTTAGAATTAGAAAATCCTCCTACCTCATGTATTATCATGGAGTCCTTATCTAGTGGATGTGAAATGGCTAAAGCTTTGACTGAGCTCTGATGCCCAATCCACACACCTGTTTTTCCTCAAGGAGTATCCCAGAATTCCCTCGAGGAACCTCACCGCATGTCGCGCATCAGGAGCACACTGGACACCGTTACCAAAGCCGTGAGCGGAACGGTGAACACCGACCTCCTCGCCAAGATCACACGCCTCAAACCCAGTGCGACCCAGGGCAAAACTATAGAGGTTAAAGTGGAATGCCCCGAGGCAGAGGCCGGAGCTGTCATGACCATGGCGGCACCTGAGCCTCCCAGGGAGAAAGAGGTGAAAAAAGACATGGAACTTCATGAAGAAGCCCCAAAATCTATCAGCAGGCTGTCTAGCAGCACAGGAAACATGACCAGTGTGGCTGCAAAGCAAACGCTGCAACGTTTTCAGCCCGCAGCCTTCACAACCAACATGGATGAAATGTACAATCACCTGGCTGAACATGTCAATGCCTACTTTGGAAGTGACACGCGAGATGACAAAATATCACAACGGGTTAGAGAAGACACAACATCCTCGACATCTCAGATCCAGCCTAGTGCTCTTCCAAAAAATAGCAAGGATGATATCCTAATGGCAGTGCCTGTGTCCCATAGATCCACACCAGAAACGCCCCCTACGATTGACAAGAATGGCTCCGTCCCAAGTCCAGAAGCCCCTTCTGCTCCAGCTCAGGATGAGGGTGTTTCAACCATCCCCATATCGCCAAGGAAAGGCATCAGTCATTACCTGTCCTACCCCAGGCCCAGCGTCCAGGCTTTTGTAGGAAACTACATCGCTCCTCTCGTACCAAAGTTCAGAGCGGATTCAAAGAGTGGCACGGCAGAGAAGGAAAAACCCTCTGGATCTGAACGGGCTGCGTCCCAGGATGCAAAGAGTGCAGAAAGCAAGGAGCAAAAAGAGGCAGAAGAGAAAGCACAGAGACTGCTGTCTCAAAGGGAGAAGGTAGAATAATATCCCTGTAAATATAATAGAATATGTTTAATAGAGGTTTTTTTTTTTTTTTTTTTGAGTAAAAGCATTGTGTTTCAAACAACTTTTTATTGTTTTATTTTAACGTGGAATGAAGTAAGGTCCTACAAGTTGGCAGAATTTTCTTTATGTAAAAATAAATAAATAAGATTGTGTAAATTATGGGGGGGGTCAGTTATCACCCAAACCTTTCTTTTATTAGAAGCCCAAGCTGGTCAGGAAAACATTGATTAGAATGTTTAAGA